CACCCCCCCCCCCCCCCCCCCCCCCCCCCCCCCCCCCCCAGTCATCTACATGGCGTGTAGTGGGACAGCTTCACTTTTCTTGTGTTGGTTCTCTGTGTTCCTACCACATGCTATCCCCTGTTATGCAGCTCAAATCAGACGGTTCTCACGTTAAGGAAACGGACACGACAGCTCACCTTCCCATCCTCTCCTCCAGTGACAATGTACTGTCCGTCCGGAGAATAAGCAAAGCACGTCATATTGTTGAAGTGGCCCTGCTGTTTCATGACGTACGTCTCACTCTGCCACTCCCACACCAGTAACTGGCCCAAGCCGATACACCCCAGAGCTATCCAGTCTCCAGTGCTGTTTAATGCTATGGATGAGATCTGCTGGTCTGAGATACTGGAATATTAACATTACCAAAAAATTTAAAGGAAACACAACAGAAATATTCTGAGAAACCATAACACCTATTTTTGCTTACATTTTTCCATCTGATACAGATAGGAGCAAAAACTACTAACAAGGATTTGAAGGGTTTGTGGCAGTGGGTCTGAAGATGGCAGTCTTCTGGGTCGTTCCGCCACGTAGTCTGCTAAAGTTCACCCTGATTATGGAGGCAGCAAAGACCTCGGAAACGCTGGTAAACTTCTACCAGACTACATGGCACAACAGCCTAGAAGACACCCATCTTAAAAAAATTACAAATATGGCAATACAAAATTCAAGCATATATTGCCATCAACTCAAAAAAAGGTTTCTACATTGAAGATGTGGTTATATTTATCTCCACAGTAAATATTGCATACTTCTTTGCAACAGCTAACCAACTACCATCATCAAACAGGCAAAATAAGATTCAAAGTCTGCGCAGTCATAACATTATTTTACTATCTACAACGAAAGAGTGGGGACTTCAAAAAATATCCTTATTTTCAGATTCTGACTTCTGCATGCCATCATGTTGCAATGTTGATGGTACAGAACTAAGAAACAAACACGGGCTGATGTTCATATCGAGTTTCATAGAAACTTATCGCGTTGGTATAATTCACAGTGGTGAGATATGGGATAGCGTTTCAGATGGGTTTCTCTAACAACACTTAACAAATCATCACTCAATTGCAGACTTCTCTTATTACTGTCACAGTCATGAAACAACTGACCATACACAGATTACTCCTGACCCATAAGATACAGGACACACATTTATAAACACGGGAAACACCACGGATATATTAAGAAGAAAAGCCAGGGACGGAAAGTTTTTTAAACAGTCTAGAGAAATATCATATTTTCTTAATCAGTTACAAAAAAAAAGAACAAATACACATGAATGAATTGAAACACACAGTTTGCCACAAAACGAACATCCGTAGTAACAGTGGGAATTAGCGTACGCGCGTGCGTGTATGTGTGGAGAAATGACAGTGACAAAGATATCAAGAGTCTACAATATAAACAACACACCTGAAGGCTACAATAAATAACAGAATTCATCAAGCAAATTTTTCAAGACCCATACCTGAGCGAGTGAATGTGGTTGACTTCCGGAAGCTCGTGCACAAAGAACGATCCATTGGAGAAGCCAGTGATGAGAATGTGCGTCTCTTTATGATATGCAGCAGAAGTCAGCTTGACATCACGCTGCTCTCTGACCAGGTCACATAGGTAGTGTCGCGCCACACGCTTGTAAAATAGCTTGTCGCTGTTTGTCGGATCTGCCATCCAAAAAACCAAACGGGGAAATAAACACATGGCAAAAACTGGAAAATAAATTATTTATTTTCTTTGTTTCATGGAAAATCCTAGCCTATAGCATATCTCGCTAGCATAAATAACTCTTTTCTTTTTATGCTCTGTGTCGTGTTACAGAAAATGACTGGATGACTGTCATTATGATTCTATCCTTACCAGCTCAATCAGTGTTCAATAAACTCTTCTCAAGCTACCAGCCATGTAAGGTGGCTTAATGAAGAGAACATCAATGATATAAGAACCATCTTCATCCTCAGGGTACTGTAGTTGTGTTCTCAAAACTTTGGTGTTTTCTTCATTAAGCCACCTTAAATGGCTGGTACTCCAAGAAGACCGCCACGGTGGTCTAGCGGTTAGAACGCTGGCCTTGTAATCCTGGGGTCTCGGGTTCGATTCCCGGCGGTGCCCGAATTTATAACTTGTGTTGGGCAAGGCCGTGGTCTAGGCAACACGGAGTTTTCCTCCATGGCATCCCAACAATTACTCCATTCACAAACAGAAGAAGGCAATGGCAAACCACCTCTGGATCATCTGCCAAGAACGTATATGAACAGGTCCCAGTCCGAGAAAAGGATGGAAGGATCCTGTTCATATGGACCTGTCCTCAGACAGAACACTAAATAATAATAACTCCAAGAAGAATTCATTGTACTTAGTCGCTGTGAAAGCTTCAGATCATACAATAATCAGTGTACCATGAACTGGTTGTTCTTAAATTTCTGAACACACACTTTGACATAAAATGGAATAAATTTTAATGTACTAATTAAGACAATGAAGTTTATATGTTCTGCACACCAACATATTCTAGGTTAGGTTTGGGCAATTATAATCCTAGAGAAAGTAACATATTCTAGGTTAGGTTTGGGCAATAATCCTAGAGAAAGAAAACCTAGAACACAAATCCATGTATAAAATATACCCGCACTTTACTTACCACAACGACAATATTTTATTTTTAAATTCTCAGTTAATAACAAGTACAGGTGAATCAGTTTAAAACACAAATTCAATCTTATCATTACTCAATTCAAAGTGAATTTTATCATTAAACTGGTATGACACCTCATAATTAAAACATTATAGGAATGAATCTTACTTTAAGAACATGATAAGGACATTCCCCTACATTGACAGGGTTTCAATATTGTACTAGATGAAATCATCTCATGTTACACAGAATTTCCATGATGCAATAACATAAGTAAACTGAATGCATCTAATCAGTTGACACCACAAAATGCAGTTATCCACTGTGTACTTTGGTGTGTATCATTTTTAGGTAGATCTTCTACTTATCAAGTCATGTCACTGTCTTAAATATCTTAGTAAACATCCTACACGAATCAGTAACATGGCCTGGTAACGCTGCCAGTGGAGATATGTGCCCCAATGTCATGGATAACAGCAACGAACTAAATAAATAAAATGGATGCCTTGCATTGATAAAGGTGTCAACCAAAACCACAGTTACACAAAGACTGTTGCGCACAAAATATGGTTATAAAATCTGAAATGAACAGATGTCCACCCACTGACATACTCCTAGCTAAAACCCACGTTCATATATGTCTAACCTCAAGTCACATTAGCCAGTACATCTTCTGTTCTTCATTTAGAAAGTCACTGTGCCTTGTGCTTGCAAATGTTCTGTTGCTCAAAAATATCAAGTAAAGGCCTTTAGGTACAACTTCCAAAATATTCAACTGCAAAAAATGTTTAAAACTTGGAACACACATTTCAAACCAAGACCTGTTCGTGTTGTATCTAGATTAATTAAAGCAAGCGCATGAACTTAAAATGAACGAAAACACGCTCCTACGTGCATATTAATTAGTTCCTCTAGATACCAGACTTGACCACGGCTCATGCCATCAAACTGAATACAAACATGCTGACACGATATTATTTGCACAATTCTGTACAAAACAAATCACACGACTGCATAAAAACTACAAGACCTTTGTGAAACTGGTACCACTGCTTTGAATAACAGGTATTTACAACACAGGGTCCAAGAGATACACCTAGCTGCGAACAGCACAGCGAAATTAAAAGAATCTGACAATGTCGCCATCATTTTGCACTTTAGAAAAAAATCATCTTAACAAAATCTGTCAGTTTTTAAAAGCTTTATTACCACATATTGATTAATGCCATTATGTGGCAATCACTAGAGGTCAAGGAATAAAAAAAATCACTAAGGTTGCCCTCAATATCATAAATGTCCTGCAGAACGGGTGGTTCTTTCAAGCATTATCAGAGCCACGCCCACATGCTGCATCAATCAGAGTTTTCTTTTTCCTTTTTAAAACCAAGCCAAAATGTAGAGATCGAAAACCATATGTGGAAAACACAAAAATAACCTGTTCAAACACCAACCAGGCACTTTCCCTGATGGTTCTTTAGACTGTAAGTTTCTATGTTGCGTGCTCATCGAGAACACAGAAGTAAATGCTACTGAGTCTGCATGGGAAGAAGGCACGACATATTACATATGAAAGCTCCCCATCAATCAAACCTCCAACATAATTATTCCGCAATTTAAACCCGCAACATAAATATACCACGTAGATATTCTTACTTACAAAAATTAGAATTATTCAAACCTAACCTTACCCGCGGTTACTTCCTCTACTGCTCGACTGTCCTCAGCTCTGGAAGTGTCCACATCATCTTCGCTATCACTATGGGTCTCCTCACGTGTCTTCTTGGCAGGTGGCTCCCACGGTCGCAGCAAGTCTATGTCAATACTGCACTCCCATACACACACCTGTCCATTACGACTGACAGTTGTAAGATCTAGGGAGCCCTTCTCAAAGAAGCAGGCCACTACCGAGTCAGTATGGCTACCCAGAGAGTACGTCTTGAAGTTGGCAAGCTTCTCAAGACTGTACAGTTTTGTGGTCATATCCTTTGATCCAACAGCCAGGACCCTGTCAGGTAACATGATCTTAAAGAACCTAAATAAACTCGTAACTACATAAATTACTGACGAACTTGGCTCTTGCTGACACCCAAATCAGAGCGCTAAAGATTTAATCTACCCGATGTTTCTTCACTTGTCACGTTAAACTCACACTTCCTAAGTGTTTATAGAACTACATACTTCAGATGCAAGTGCCTAAAGGTATCTAAGCAAAGGTATTGTCAGACATGTTGAGTAATACTGATAAATGACACCTTACTAAATTGTAATGATTCTGATACACAATGTTATCACAACTATCCACTACTCCATTAATCTCATGAAGGAAATTTCATCTAGACACAAAGCTGCAAATACATTACAATTTATGTATACATGTGTAGTACATCAACATCAACAACAACGACAAAATTTGTACAGAATTAGGTATACCTTGAATCTGAAGACCAATCCATACAAGTTGTTTCATCAAAAGAGCCGTGGAAAACGCGTTCCATGATAAATGGGTTGAACTCCCCAGAGTAGAGTCCTGGGGCCTTGAAGACAAAAACTAAAATAAAAATACATTATATTTAAAATGTAAAAACGTGGACATTTTCTGGTAAATACAGTGGGCCCTCAAGTAAATACGACAGCTTCCTTAACCCCTTCAATGTCACAGACAGCACATTTCTGCAGGTGCACAGCATATTGTAACACATACAGAAAACTTTCTCGTGCATCAGTGAACAAACTGATGTAGCCGATCACGATGGAGGCAGCATGGCCCTCTGGAACGTCAGTAAACTTCTACCAGACTATACGGCACAACAACCCAGAAGACACTCATCTTCACCTTCACATTTGCCACCCCAAGAACCTGAACTTTCATTTACTAAATTTCACATTTTACATATCGATTGATGACGTTTCAGAACAGGGACTGAAGAAATTATCTGGACATAAGAGACAAGATATAATGATACCAAAGAATACTGCATAATGAAGAGCTTCATAATTTGTATTCTTGACCAAATATTATAAGATGGACAGAATGTGTAATAAGCATGGGAGATGAGAAATACAAGATTTTAGCCAAAAAAACTAAGCTAGCAGACATCTTAATAACCACGTGTAGACAGAAGGCAAAAACAAAACCTAAAGAAATGGTGTGAAGGTGTCCGCTGGATTTATTAGGACGGTGTCCAGTTGATGACATGACAATGGCATAAATTTCTTGACTATCTGAGTAACTATTAGTTTCTTAATCAGAATTCTGTTTCATGCAGTTTGTAAAGTTAACTGAATCCTCACTTTGTATAACCTTCTTCCTTATGCAGCACAAAAACTTTATTTATAAAGACTGAAGAGAAGGACACAATTAAATCATGCAGTTACCACACGACAGCATACATCATAAACCGCTTTCCACGTGTTCGGCACTGAAAAAATTACAAAATGTGGAACTTTGAAATTTATATACCTGAAGACATCAAGGAGGATTAGACTGGCACAGCATGGGAAGATAAGAAATGTTTTGTCAGAAAACCTCAAAGCAGAAGATTTGGTAATTAAGGAAGGATAATATTAAGATGATTCTTACAGAAATAGGGTACAAGAGTATGCACTCGATACATCTCACTCAGGATAACGCCTCATCACATGCTCTTGTAAACACAGTTCCTATCAGCGAGCACGCTACAAAGGACCCAAATTTGTTACGCAGCAGCCTTGAGGATGAGGGCGGAGATGGTTCTTGAATCATTGGCAGAACATATGATTTATTCACCATTCAGCCACCTGGCGCGGATGGTAACCCGAGAGTCTTTCATCAACAGTTAAAAAGCTTTACATTTCATAACAGGCAGAAAAAATTTTAAAACAGCTTAACAACCATAACATTTCAAAGAATGAGATTTCTGTTTGATGTTAGTTAACACAACACCAAAGGCTTATGCCACTGAAATTTTTAAAAAACTTTCAGTACACAGAGAGTTTCATGCAAAATTCGTAGAAACGATCTCCTGTTATATTAAATTAAGTTTCAAGTAGTACTTTCGCATACCATTGTTATCCTTGCACGCTGCAAAGTGCTTGCTATCCGGACTAAATCGCAGGCATGAGACAGGCCGTCGGAAACGGTACTTGTGGATTACCCTCCGACTCACCATGCTGATCAGGTGGGCTTCTCCCTCTGGAAGAATGCAGATACATGTACTGAATAGAAACAGTGCTTCTCAATTTGTGCAGTAAATATAAGGATTATGTTCTACTCCTAAAATCAAGCTAGAAAGGTTCCTATAAACACATGGATGCAACAGCTATGTTGGTGAGATAATGAAACATTAAGCAATAATGAAGTATTAGTTAATAATTTATGTCTGGGCAGGAATAATTGGTGTTTACCTCACAGGTTCTCATTGGCTAATGAGTCGACTCTCAGAGAGGTTGTAATGAGACTTTTTAACAAAAGAACAACCTCAATTATGGGCAATTTACCATTGGAAACACAACAAACTATGCATCACGGAGGTCCCGGCCATTTTACTCGCAACACAGAGTAGTTTCTGAACTCTCATTATCCAGTCTCATGGGTAGGATAAAATTGATGGCTGCAAAGACAATTACATGAATGCCTGGAGTTTTTCGGTATACCGAGAATTCATAGGGTAATGGGGCTCAGTTGTGCATCAGAATAACAGACAGAATTTTCAGCAACACATGTAAATATTCTGTCATGTTGAAATCTCGTAAACAAATTCACTCTTAAAGAATGTTACACATCTGATTTAATTTCATAATACAGTGAAACCTTGATACAATGCAGGTTTCAGGGGACAGCTTCAATACCTGCGTTATATGTGAGATATGTAATCGTATCGGGGGACACGATAACAGCCGCGGTATAACGAGGCGTAGTATATCGAGGTTCCACTGTATTTCTTGTTTTCACGAACAAATGATTGTGACCAAATGTTTACAGGAACTCTTCAGCTTAATTTTAGGGCACGATCCTTATACTTAATACATGCTAGCGGAGTACCCACCGTGTTACTGTGAGGAAATTTAAAAAATGCTTTCAGATCTTACCAATCCTCCTTGCAAGCTTATCACAGGCATATCATTAGATAAGTATCAAAGAAAACTATTATTCCTAAATCCAAGAACATTTATCTTTTTGCGCCATCTACAATAATTAGTTTCACACACATCTGTAAGGATTTTAACCATTCCTTCTCCACGAATATAAATAATAGTTCGACCATTTTTCCCAAAAGCTGAGCTACTAAATTATAAGATATTGTAAATGCGTCATATTGTGATTATATATTATTAAAAATATTTATTAAAAACTTTTGCCGTCAATCACAAATATAATCACAAAAAATCGAGTACTCGATAGGAACGTTAAATGATGTTTTAATCTTTTAACAATATTATATTTGTGATTGACGGCAAAAGTTTTTAATAAATATTTTTAATACTAAATTATAGTACAACATTTTCAACACAAAGAATATAAATGCATGTAAATAAGGTGGTTAAACCTGTAGGACCTTAGTGATGGTGACAGGAGACTGGTGTAACGATAATTACCAAAGACAAACAACGAAATTTGAAGAAAAAAAAACCTGAAGCTGCATGTAATGTCTTGAGAATGAACACAATGGTATACTAAAGGTACAAAGATGACATCTACCCACCAGCATTGCAACACGTCATTATTACTATTACTCATTTCTGAAAAAAAAATAAGAAATGAAGAAACACTTCTCACCAAAGCTGTTATTTTCTATGTGAGGGGTGCACACAAGTTTCATCACATAAAAGAGCTAATTCTTGTCCTTAGGTTTCCACAGCTTGAATCCAACTTGTAACCTCAGCTTTCAGGGGTGAGCCCTGTCAAACACCGAGTATTATCCAAACTAAGGTTTCCAAAACTGTTAACCACTACACATTCACCCTGAATATGACAACTGCAATTTTTACTAAAATATTGGATAATATTCAACAGTCAATGTGTGGCACCCCCAAAAGCCAAAGTTACAGCTAATTCTGATATTTAGAATACATACCTTCATTAACAGCTATAAGGGTGCAGCCATTTGGTGATAAATCAAGAGTTACGTAATTAAAACGGCCTTCAACTGGCAGTGTTGAAGATTTGTTACTGCAAGTAAAAATAGCAAAACAGAAATTATTTATTATTTATTTAGTGTTCTGTCTGAGGACAGGTCCATATGAACAGGATCCTTCCATCCTTTTCTCGGACTGGGACCTGTTCATATACGTTCTTGGCAGATGATCCAGAAGTGGTTTGCCATTGCCTTCTTCTGTGTGTGAATGGAGTAATTGTTGGGATGCCACGGAGGAAAACTCCGTGATTCCTAGACCACGGCCTTGCCCAACACAAGTTATAAATTCGGGCACCGCCGGGAATCGAACCCAAGACCCCAGGATTACAAGGCCAGCGTTCTAACCGCTAGACCACCGTGGCGGTATAAAACAGAAATATATAACAAATAATATCATTATCTACGTCATTCACAGATATTCCGCAAAACAGTTTGAATGAGTTGTCAGTGCCACGATATTATTAGCATCGCTGGCTAAAAGAGACCATAAAAATGTGTATCGCTCTACTCCATCTTGGAGTCCTGACTTTGTAAAGGCATTCTGCACATAGCATTACCCCTGATGTTAACATATTTTAAATACAACACAACAGGGTGTTCAGGCTACGGACATCAAGAACAAAAATTGTAAACAGATTTGCTGTATTATTCTTGCACAACTTGTAAATTGTGTAAAATGGACTCTCCATGCCTTGGCATTGTAACACTAATTGCACTACAGACCTCACACTGCACAGCACCAGAAATCATTTCTCTTGGTACCTTGTTAAATATTCACTCATGAACAAATTGTGATTTTAATGAACTGTATATTTTATGTCAAAGATCAAATTTTTATATGACAAGCCACTTTTTGTGAACCGAGATACCTCAGTTAACACAGTGACCAGCCTGTTGGCTACATGACAAGGGATCAAGTCCGAAAAGGGAGAGGAGGGATTTTCCTCCTTACCACCATGTTCAGCGAGTACCAAGGCAGTCACCTCCATCAAGTGCTTAGGTGTTAAGAATATGTGGAGCTGTACCTCAACTTCTCCATACATCTTCAAGGAGGTGTTTAATTAAGCAAAAGAGATCAGCCTTCATGATGATAAACCTATTAATTAATTAATGAACATTTTAATGCCCAATGGTAACACCTGCTGTAATAATCAATAACACCGGGTTTCATACAATTCTCAGAGAGAAAATAGAAATTATTTCCTTAAACAGCACTGCCAACTAATAATTGCAATGGACAAGTGCTGTTTTGTTTGAAGTAGGAACTGAACTTTTAAATATTACTCAGACGACATTGCGGCCCTCTCAAGGTTAATATCAAAATCCAAAATTGAGACCGAAGGCAGTAGGATTCTGTTAAACTCTTTTTCCAGTGCTATTATGGGATCTCAGCAGACAATAGTAACTAAACGGCCATCAAATCAGTTAAGTATGTTAATGTATGAGAAATCTGTTGGAAAATAGAAATGGGAGAAGAGGTTGATGTTACTGTGCATGGACACTACACCCATTCTTGTTCCAAACACATTTTACTCCAGCAGTCTCTAAAGTACTTACTTACGCGATCCATTCTTCAGTGCCTTGAGCATCTGCGGGTCCCAACTTTCGTTGGCTTTGATCTATTAGACAGTTGGTAGGACTCCTTGGACGAGGGATCAGCTCGTCGCAAGGCCTCTGCCTGTACACAGGACAGCACAACACAAAAAGATGCAGACAAACATCCATGCCTTGAGTGGGATTCGAACCCACGGTCCAAGCGGCACATGGCCGACGCCTCAGACCACGCGGCCACAGTGACGGCCTCCAAAGCACAGTGTATTGTATAAACAAATAGTGAATGCAGGGATGGTCGCATATTTTGGGAATGAGTACAATGTAGCCGTTCATGCCCACCTCACTCCCAGTGGACATCTTGTGGCATGCTATCAGTACAGTCAGCTGTAAATTATATAAGACAACCGATCGCCAAACTTGTACAGATGGACTTCGTCCACCGACCCAGTTCCTGAACCCACGACACTCAGGCGTAGGAATGGAGACCAGCTCTAGAAAGAGGCCCAACAGAGTCGCATTTTTCCGCCCGAAGAAAGAAGGACAGTCAACTTCAGAAACAATGTGGGTTTGAAAAAGTGGGACAATGAACAATGTCCAAGAGATGCATCATAAACATTGTGTTTCACCACTAGCAGACTTATTTGACATTAGATAAATGGAATAGAACAACACAAATATTTCAAGTATTTCTTCTCACTTTTTTAAGTCGTAAATTGTAATTCTGTTCCCCACAGGACTGATGACTGAATTCCCATCTGGAGTGAAGAGCAGATTGCCCTTCCGGTACACTGTCCCAAACAGATTGGAAAACTGTAAAAATAAATATCACAAACATAACACAATGGCATTCATGTCTTCAAGCTTCAAATCCTCATGCATTGCATTATATTATGCAAAAATAGCATTACCATAAAAATAACGCTGATATTCACTTCAGAAGCAGTATAGAGACTAATCTAAAAGTATGTGAATATAAATGTAGACAAAAATGGACCAAAATCTGTAACATGATTATAATACTGGAAGGTGCAAATAAATGTATCAGAATTTAACCCTATCCCTTCTTTTTGTACGTCAATTCCCACTTCTACCCGGTAAAACTGGTGGTGGAAGGCTTCTAACAGTGAACCTGTATACGAAAATTACACTGGAAGTCTTCTGACAGAGGATTGGCATGAATGATACAGTTGATTACAAAAACCCACTCATTCCTCTGCCTTTTGGCTCATGAGCAATATTACAGTAACATGGTATACATTTTGTGTGTACTGTTCACGTTAAAGATGAAAGTTACTTTACCTTCACTCTATGCTTGCATACTGGGGTGCAGACACAGGGTTACCTGTGCCATTTCAATTAACCTTTCACCCGTATCTAACTTCAGTACATTTGCCATTGTTAACTCACTGAAATCTTTCAGGTATTAAATCTAAAAATTGAATGACAGCATTACAGCACTACTTTCATGCTTGCACTCAGGATGTAAGAGCATCAGGGTAGATAAAAAGTGAATGCAAGATGTGAAGGCTGGTAATAACTCGCAGTGATCAGGATATCAACTTGTTGTGGTTGTTTTGTGTAATACGTCAAACTTGACTCTCCTTCCTTCATTAGCACTATGAGTGTACAGTTTAATACTGTAATCTATTTTTACTGATTACAAGGAATCAAAATAATACCTAGAATACACAATCTTTGAGGATGTAATTGCTGGTACAATGATAATCTTGGTAACAAACACTGGTACATTCTGAAAAAAATTTACACCATCTGTTTAAAACCAACATTAAACTGACTCAAAATGGTGTGAACGTAATGATGGATTGCTTAACAAGTCTGTGGAATTGTAGACCATAATGGTCTGAACTGTTATCATGGACAAGTGGATACAATCCGCATTACCAAGCCATACTACTTAAATGTTTATTCAAATTACATTTTGAAACATGTTTTTCAGTAACAGCTAAACGATCATACCCTTACCTATAAAGTGATCGCAAATTAATTTTAAAATGTCATGTCATGTCAAAAATTAAACAATCCATACAACCCATCAGTGGTTACACTTCAACGAGCTGTCACCTGTCTGGATAATAGCCCCTGCTGATACTAAAAATTAAACAATGTTTCCCATTGTACGAGGTACATGGTAATAAAATGTCCACATAGGTCACGACGGTACTGTTCCTAAATCGAGATACCAGCCGATTTTGGTTCATCACTGAAGTATGAGCTACCACATGGAGCACAGTTTACCCATACTACCCATCGTGCATTCTTTCAAAACCAGGTTCAACTAGGTTATGATTTATGAAACTTACTTACTTTGAACGCAAACTTCATAATTTCTTGGATCTCTCTCTCATAATATCTTCATAAATAACATGAATATTATTTCGAGCTTAAACTAATGCACTGTGTGTAAAAGTAAAGTTCACACATTTTTTGGGACCACGTGAATAAAAACCCGATTGGTTAAAAGGGCAGCCAACTTTGACATAATTGGTAGTTACATTTCACTGTACACTTGATCTATAACTCGCACATTCAATTTCATCCTTTGAACATGTAATATTTTGATCAAAGCTGCTGTTAGTTATAGACTCGCTATAAATATATTTGGTTTGCTATAAATTTGTCGGGCTAGTTACTATTTAATATCTCATTATCTATATGATATAATGACAAATTTAGTCTTTTGTAATTACTGGAATCAATGTTCCTACAGAATAAAGCGTTTGATTTTAATACACACAGGTGTAAATGAACGTTACGGAACCTGTAACTTGCAAGAAAACCCAACAAAATTTAGCACTTTTAACATGCAAATTTCTATTGCTTCAATCCACCTCCTTTACTCTGAAATTATCATATTGGTGCTCTGTGACTAATTCTACATGGAAGCCTTATCAACATTGAATAGTAGAGTACATAGCTGTTCGGCGGGTCTGCTCATCTAATGACGTCATGGAAATGGGTTTCAGAGTGATATTTCTATTCGTCTTTGGGTCTCACAGTCCTGCTTGTCAGCCAATAGAAGCTCTGCATACAGTATAGCTGCACCTGAAAATTTCTACTCATCACATGACCCATACCGTTGTGTAGGCCATATTTGACAGTGGGCAGATTAGTGCAAGGTAGAGAGTGAGTGCATGAAGATTGTTCTGTTGGCATATTAAGGAACCTGTAAATACTCCACATTAAAATGGCGATTGATCAAGAACATCCCGTGTACGGACCCTTCTTTGGTGTAATGGGTGCCGCGTCGGCGATCGTTTTCAGTGGTGAGTAATCACAGAACTATTGATTGGAATTATGAACCTCCCAAGTCAGAACAAAGTGGTACAAAAATGCATTATTCTTATAAATCGTATTTAATGAATATTAGTAAACGAACCTGTAGTTACTTTCACATTGGAATAAGAGTACATTGTGTCGTACAAGTGTAAAGTTAAATCACCTGGCCACCTTCGACCGAAACATGAAGTAATTTACTTTCAGATAAGCTTGAAATCTGTTAAAATGCGTGACTCATGTTGGGTCTGAATGGTTTTTGAAGTTGCGTATTTAAGTGCGCACCATAAATTTGCAAATTACCCACTTAACTACAATTAGTAATTGGGCGAAGGAATTTATTTTCCCCGGTTATTGACTTTCCAGTTGTATGACAAAGGATTGGGACCGAATTGTATTGCATGTTAGTGACGGCTTTCACGTTATTTCATAGTTACGAGATTACATTCCATCGAGCAAATGGTTTAAAAGTTGTTACATACATATATTTCTATATAGAAAAATACGTTTATATTCGTAATGTAATTAAATAATGTATATATATGCAGGCACTTCTGTGCTATAATTGTATGTAATATTAAAATGTAAGTACATGATAGCTTTGGAGAGTGACTAGTGTAGAATCAGTTGTAGCATGTATGAAATTGAAGTGAACAAAATGAGTTGGTCTGTAATTCAGAAAAAGAGTTGCAGTGCATGTGTTCTTAATTTGTTTCAGCCCTTGGTGCAGCATATGGCACGGCAAAATCAGGCACTGGTATTGCTGCTATGTCAGTGATGAGACCAGAACTTATTATGAAATCCATCATTCCTGTAGTCATGGCAGGTATTCTCGCCATCTACGGTCTGGTCGTGGCCGTACTGATAGCTGGCGCACTAGAGGAACCTGACAAATACTCTCTTTTCAAGTAAGTGTTGAGCTACCGTCTGTTAATTTTATGTCATTAAAATGAGCGCAGTGAAGGCATTTGTTGGTCTTTTCTGGTGTTTATAAAGCTGTGTAAATATTTAGTTACGCAGAGGTTTGTGGTTATTACAACTGAAAAGAGTACATGGTAAATATTTTAGAGGTAGAATGTAGGTATGTGGTAACTGTTTCAGAGGTGGAAAAATGTGTCTTTTTTATCATTACAGTTATTACTTGCATGCAAAGTCCCCAGCTAATCCCCCCCGCCCCCAGCTGTTTTGTTCACCTATTCATGATATTTCAGAATTGGCTGAATTTAAATATATATATATGTTTAGAAACAACTGTCCACAGCTTCATACTTTCCTATTTGCATTTTTTTGTAGTGGATCATTACAACTAGTCTTTTTGAACAGAAAAGATAATACTGTGTGACATGGTTATGCTTTTAGTTCATTGCTGCTGTCATATTACCATATTTTGTAGGTCCATTTGTCTCAAGGTCGGCTGCTTTAACTGGGGCATGTGCCCTCTTCGCCATGAAACAGGCAGTGGTTTAGTATTGGGGGTAGACCTCTAGTTCTTGCAACCTGCTATAAATATACATTCTTATCTTTTAAATACAACTGGGTGACTGCCACTTACCATCAGATGGGACTAATCATATAATGCTTGTTTGCAGGGGGTTTGTCCACTTGGGCGCGGGGCTCGCCGTAGGATTCAGCGGGTTGGCCGCCGGATTTGCCATAGGTATCGTCGGCGATGCCGGTGTCAGAGGCACGGCCCAGCAGCCCCGTCTCTTTGTGGGAATGATTCTGATCCTCATTTTCGCTGAGGTGTTGGGTCTTTACGGACTCATTGTTGCCATCTACCTGTACACCAAATAAACTGTTGATCCTTGTTATGAGTTCCCATCATTCACGTGTAAGAAAAGTAATTTGTTGCGGGCGGGCGGAAGTCACCTTAACATGATGGGTTTTGGCTGTATTTCTCACCATGAGTTGACTTCCAAGGCCACATCCTCATTTGTAAAATAATTATCATAGCCTAGTTTAATTGGCACTTGAATGGAAAGTATCACTTTTTTTTTATATAAATACTGGATGTTATATACAAGCATATGTTCCCATTCAGAGATGTGTGTTGATTAAAAGTTGAGCAGTACCGTCGAGTTTGTAGCTATTTCGTGTGTCGCCATCTGGGTTGAGCTCAGTGAGTGCGTTAACGTGCACATAGTTCTAGATAAGATGTACATTTGAAGTCAATATTTATAATGCAGAGTCCCGATTGCGATGTGAATTGCGAAACATTTGAACAACACATTTCTTTTGTAGAGTGGTGGATGAACATTGCTTGAATGAATCTGTGTATTCTGTATCTTATGATGTCCTGTCTCGTGTTTTGTCTGGAGTGAGGAGATTTGCTACAGAATCGCCGCCACTCGCCACAGATGAGAAGAGAGAACTGATGTTAGTGTCTGTGGTCTAGCTTTTGGTGTGACTGAAAGTAATTGTAGCTCTATAAATAAATATAAAGACACTCATAACAAAACTTTGGTTGTAGTTGTAAAAGAAATGCAAGATAGAAGTTGGGTAGTTCACTTATTTCCACAAATATTCTTAAAATGGGGAATGAGGGTTTAACAATATGTGTACATTCCATTTGCTGCTCTGCTGACGTCCGAGGTATAGGGCGATACATCACCATGATTAATGATTTTCTGCTGGACATCCACCGTAGGCGTGTTTCGAACTTGAAGACTTGGATCGAGCGACTTCTGAGTAATCGCGGGAAACCTTTAAGTTCTGGTATTTGTGTATGGTGTATATGTCTGACCCACGGACAGACCGTGTCGATCTACTACCGTTACTGGCAAAAATGATTTTTCTTCCTTGTTGCCAAACTCATGTTCATAATTTTTGTCGACACTGATAATCTTATATTGAGCAGTTGGTTTGGCTGTAGGTGGTATAGTTTGGTCAGAAAGTTGTAAACAAATTTATTATTTTGTGTAGATGTGAACTGTGTATTCCGATACCATTTACTGGTGTAATTCTTGTATGTTAGCAGGCAACCTGCTCTTTTTAGCTTCGGCACAAATATTTCAGACACGGTGTTTAAAAGCAGAAGATTTCTGTGTTCTTCCACGTTTTAGCTGTGGGTTGGGGTGTATTAATTCTTTTCTTGACCCAAGATTATTTTGAAAAGCTTCACATATGGCTGTGCATGATATTATGTTTCACGTAAAATCTTCAGCTGTCCGCAGCCGTGGTTTCAAGTAAGCGTAACAGTAGCTCTTGGGTATGTAGTCTAGAGCACATGAAATGTTTTTAAACAACCTTAAATTGAAATTGTTTACCTGGTGTATGAATAGCACGTGTCTGTTATTGGTGTATGAATGAGATTATGACGGAAATAAAAAAAATGAGAAAATGATTTAATATGTGAATATTTCCCGGCAAGAATGAGATTATGACGGAAATAAAAAAATGAGAAAATGATAAATATGTGAATATTTCCCGGCAGCCTTGACTTGGAGCTCTGGTCTATAAAGATGTTAACTGTCATGACATGTTTTATGCACAATTAAGATCTTTAATTCCATTTGGCATGACGGACTAAATAGTAACCTAACAGAAGGGAATTGTATGTGCGCATTTGCTACCATTTCAGGCTCCCTTTTCCAAGTGCCAGTTGCGATAGGTTACGGCTTCAGTTTTTAATCTCTGGTAAGTTTAGTTGTTCCCCCCCCAGAAAGTTTCCTGGGCAATGTCAGCCTTCATTGTACGTTTGTCTACGTAATACTGTTTTTCTGTTGCTGGAATTGACCAAGGCAGTGGAGTTACATAATACTCCCCCACAATATACTGTTACTCGTCATTCAGACTTCTCTCAGGGAATTATATATGGTCGCTGTGTAGGAAATTTAACTTTAAATAAATTCCAGCTATTGAACAAAAGATGTGGCAGGCATTTTTTAAAAACACTGCTCTTGAATTCTGCTAATGAAATCAAGGAAATTTATCCCATATTAGCCTTTATCATGCAGCAGCAAAACCTGTAACGTTGTTCATCACTTCATTTACCTGAATGACATAGGGGGAGGGACATTGCTCGAGGGATGTCCCCGCTCTCCTCACCTTGCCTAATCACATCGACAACAGATATCCCGAAACCTCTAGTCATCGTCCACGCCGCTTTTGTCTCAAGGCAATGGACTTGATTGAGATCTTGCAGGTTTGCGCAAAGTGATCACGAGACTGGTTTCTCCGGTCTGCTGAAATCTTGACTTCAAGATTTAATGATGCTTGGTTGAACTTAATTGCTTTTTCAGCTGAACTGCTGTCGTAAATGAGTTGGAAAGAATGTGAAAGTTGGTGAACCATTGTCTGTTGCAAGGTGGTATCCCAGCATTTGGCTGAACGAACTGAATAAAACCACGAAACATGTCAGCAGGTTTAGATCAAATCTGGTATCCTGCAGATAATGAGGGAAAATGGTAGTTTGTGTGCAATTTTGTGCAGAATCCAATTCATGCAGCGCTGTACGGATATCTCGACTGGTGATGACTAAAGTCATTGACTTACTTTGCGATAGATGTAACATGGAAAAATGGAATATATTTCATGGGGACAACAACAACTGATGTTTTAATTTCAATGTGTATGGACTAATATAAAAAGTCTCAAATTCCCTAACTCTGTCTAGTGTTTGTTTCAATGACGTTTAAATACACAACAAACTCTAGGTGGACTAATATAAAAAGTCTCAAATTCCTTAACTCTTGTCTAGTGTTTGTTTCAATGATGTTTAAATACACAACAAACTCTAGTGTAATCCGGCAGACATTTAAAACTCGATTTGTATCGACTGGCTGATGCGTCCAATGATACTTCACGCTACTTGCAATGAAACATTTAAAACTCGATTTGTATCGACTGCCTGATGCGTCCAATGATACTTCACACTACTTGCAATGAGTTGACCTTGAATTGTACCAGCAGACTGATACAGCTGATTTGCATGCAAATTCCTCAGCTGTCATCATTTTCCATATCGTGACTGATGTAATTGATGTCATATGTAGCCATTTTTAAAGATATCTAGAGGCAAATAGTACCTAATTTCAGTGCAATCACATTCTGCAGCCATGGCCTTGGGTAAAGCTCTGTCCTCGAGAACTGAGCTCGGTAAACACGCATTCATTTATTCTCACTGTCTGATATATTCTGAAGTACTGTTCTTTAAGCAAGGAAATGTTAGTTCTTGGTATTACAAGAGGTTCCGAGATGACGTCACGAACTTAAGTACGTCCGTCTGTATAACATCAGAACCTTACAGATGGACAGTCATGACTCTGAAAGTATACGGTTCTGATTCAAATCTGACGTTGATATTAATTAACACACCACCTCGCATTTTACAATCTTTATAAAGGTCTGGTAAATATTTGGAGCAAAGACCTTGACAAGGAAATGATCGCTCAGCTGAACAGGAAATTACGTGTCCTCAATATTATGTTTGCACGAGTGTCTCGCTGCACTGCAGTCAGCCCAGAGCCATCTGAATCCATTGCGCACACTATTTTGAGACAAGTTTTGAAGGGAAAAAAACAATCGAACTACGCCCAAGTCTATTTCATGCCCCGTCCATCTCATTCTACTTCATTTCTCGCCATTGTATTCGACGATGATCAGCTGCTCGGACAGAAGAGGGACTCCAAAGAACAACTGAAATTAGGCTACATAACCTCACTAATGCAAAACTTGTTTTAGATAATAAAATACATGACGCATGAGGAATTCTGAATACAAACCTAATGACAGAGTAACATGGGGAAGGTCTGGGATGCCAAAATACTTAATTCGTGATTAGGATTACTATTATATCATTACTAATTATATGCATTCACCTTTTTAAATCTGTATGACTCTGTGATACACAGAAACAAGTTCTGGAAGTACAAGTGTGTTTACTTTCCCTTAAATGCCTTCATTCATGTGCAGAGGCTATCAGAAATTATAAATAATTGCATTACTTATGTTTCTGCATGATTTTCAGTACCACACATGCCTGGTAATTACGAACATAACCGTATCTGTTGAAGTAATACATTAATTTTCGCCGTCAAAGAACAAACATTGTACAAGTTCCTCATGACAGACAGCAGGAAAAGTTACTATAGAAACGTGCATAATATTCAAAATGTTATCATTACACAAGATACCAAGATCCTGCATTTAACTTCTCTGGTTTCGAAGTTAGGCTGTCCTGACAGGATTCTCGTGTTCTTCCTTGGTTTCGATTGTTATGTTGATCTAGAGAATTTAAAAGTAAAAACGTGGGGTTTTATTATTGCGATGAACTTTGTAAACTAATAAAATTCGCCGAAACACTCAGAATATTGCAGCCACAAAGTAAACTGAATGCCAACCATTGTTTGAAACAAAACTGCAGAATCATTTAACATCTCGACTCCCTGACGCCACAACTACATGATTGCCAAACCTCAAACAAGTAGACGTATATCGCAAATGTGCAGGATATCGTGTAATATAAGAGGGATGAGAGATTTTACGAGGCAAGTATGAGAATAACGTAATATATCGTCTGTGAATGGAAAGCGTTTCGCAGGAAGTGACCAGTTTCAGTTTCCCTGGTTGTCATAGTTGTTTAAAATGGTACAGACGCAAAGGCAGAATTAAAAGATTCAACTACACGTAAAACGCTTAAACATAAAAATAGGAAGGAAGTCCTTCCAAGCTATTTATAAGGACGTGAGATCAGAGAGGACCAGAAAGGAAGGTTAGAAACGGCATATATTACGTATCTAAGAGCACAGATGATTTTATGTCAGCCGAGAAGATGGAAAATTACGATAATAGAACTCAGCGAGAAATTAACATTTTAAATGAAATCGTTGAACAGGGACATAAATGCTGGGGGCCGGAAGTAGTGGTGGCCTTCTCATGTTCCAAGGCAGTGAGAAGTGGCGAACGCTACAGTCTTCATAATTTACGTTGGCTTGAGTCGAGGGTTTCCGGGAAGAGACGACAGATCTCTGGGAAAATATTAACCACTAATTATCATGAGATTTACTGATGTAGTGGGTAAAAAATTAGGATTTTTTCTGTGTTGCACAACCAGCCTTGTGACTGACCAATACGTCTTCGTTTAGCTCTGAATATTTTCACGTGTTTTACTTAGCACCCGGGAAGCTCGGTCAGTGTGGAGACTAGTGTAGAACCTCGACAGCCTGAGTTCAATTTCCGGCAGGAACACGTCGAGATAGTCTGCGGGAGCCACGGGTCTTTCTCTGGGTCTTGAAAGCGAACGCTAACCTAACCTAACCTAAACTAACATAACCTAACCTAACATAACCTAACCTAGTTCCAAGGATACGAATAAATCGCGACGTGGTTCTTAATTAAGCAGAGATAAGACCATCATCCAGGTTAAAAAGAACTTTGCAGGCTCAGTCTTCTCCATACCTGGTTTACACTGCGTTACTCAACTGTTTATTTTCTACTACTGAACTACTATAAAGATTTCTCAGACCTTTGAAATTCTTCAGTTCTTTTATACCAAGAAAATTCTTTAGAACAACCAAAAGGCATTCATGATGATCACGCCGAGGGGCATATTCCACAAAACTATGAACAAATAAACTACAATTTAGAAATACAAATTCTTGTACAATTTTGTTCCACAGAGAAAGACTCCACACCTGTACATTTTGATAATAATTATTAATGACATCATCAGATTACAAATGACTCGTCCGCTGGAACGATCCTAAGCGAACTGCCTCCTTCCAGTGGACTAGTCAGACGCGCCACAAAACATTGGAGTCGTCTCGTACTAGCGGTCACCGTAAAGTAAGAGGACTATATATATCGCGGTTATGTAATCTCTGGCAGAGCGAGACAAAATACAAGGCTAGCCGCTTGCAACAGAGACGGTAGGTTGTCCTAGTGCATGTACCACGCAGCTCACAAATGGTTCTACTGAGCTCAGACAAGACACAGAAAAGCGAATATCTATTTCTCCGTCCCTGTCTGTAAGGATTGTATCTTTGAAGCCGAAGGGCGTCTAAATAGTATTTAAGAATTCGGTCCGTACCGCGAAGAAAACACAACACTTCACCGTTACAAAGATGAAATGGTTGTCGATGTTTGCAGCGAGAATCATACGAAACTCATAAATACAGAATTAAGTGTTACTGATTGTTGAAGCAGGTGGTACATATACTTACCATCTCGCTTTTCCATATTCCATTTGCATGCCATTTTGTTTTACATTCCATTCTTTCAAATATCAATTAGCACTGAAACCTTGAGGCTTGTACATCGCGCGCACGGCCCCAATTTTGTCGATTAATGGTAAGGATTCAACATCTCAAAGTGATGTACGAAGATGTCTGTCTTCTGCATTGTGTCACCGTGATGATGGAGGCAAAAAAGACCTCCGAAACATAGGTAAATTTCTACCAGACTACGCGGCGCTACAATCCAGAAGACAGCCATCTTCGGAGTTACCGCCGTTGAGAACCTCAGATCTTACTAAACTGAGATAGCCGCCTAATACATTATGTTTATACCAAGTTTTATGAAAATCCGTCAATTTGTTACAAATAAACGACAGTCGCATGGCTCTTACAAATATGTATACTTCATTATATGATAATTGCTTAAAGAAATTTTTGTTAATTTAATATAATTACTCAACAATTATCACATAGGAAAATATTTCGTATGCCTCCATAAAAATATTTTCACGGGTTAGATACAACTTACCATGATATTAAATGCTAATGCATTGAATTCGTCCTCTAATGGTCTCACAGCCTCCACGTCATAACCATCAAATGTAAGTGACGTTGCTTCCGGGGTCACCGGAAGTGAAATGTTATTTTCCGTTCTACGAAATTGGCCGTCGTGTGTTGTGAGCATATCGCATTCGAAGTTCTCGAACTTTCACCGTTTTAAATAGACCACGACCTTGTTTACTTTCTGTTATCCTCAGCTGCCCTGATTACAATTCACGTGTCATTTTAAGCTTCTAATTCAATGATATTTTTGCAACGTAAAATTCAGCGCTAAATCGCTTACGAGGATTTTGCTGATATCAGCAAAGACAGACATAACCTAGACGTACGGAATTCCACGGACCAGCTGATGAGATTAAAGGAAGACATTAAGGCAACTTGTTCAGTAAGGAAAACGTAACGAAATCCAAGGTAAATGTATTCACGTCTACACGATACAGAATTCATCTGAAGTTTGAGTCTGCGAAATCCACCGCGGGACACGTTCATCCATGGCGGACAGGATTATTACCTGAGCCGGTGTAACTTTCATCCAGATATTTAATTTCCTTGATGCTGTAAGAAAATGTCGTAATGTAGACGAGCACAGATTATACTTATCAAATATTACAGTATTAGAATGAAGTACGTGATGGGTTTAACATGTAGCACGCATATTAATTGAATTGCTCATGAAATTTGCCTTATTACGTCTGAATTTTGTTTTGTTTCATAATATTATTATTATTTTGATGAACAAAATATTCTCCAAATTAGACGTCGTCTGCTGAATGTCAAAAACTGTGAGAAACAAAAGAATGCAGGGCTACCAACTCCTGTGCCACAGGTTCTAAAACCCGAGCAATTAAGCCAGAACCACAGATGATCCAGAGATCGAGTCCACGGGAGGACCTGACTCTCGTGCGAAAAGACTAGTGGGGCTAACTCACAGCTCAATGACGAAAGTGTTACTTCGTGGTACAGATAGTAACCGCTCATTAGTCGGACACGCCAACATGATCGATGCTGGTAATTAAAGCTTGCCCATGTTTGTATTCTAGATCAGTGGTATTCAACCTGAACGCTGGCCTTGTAATCCTGGGGTCTCGGGTTCGATTCCCGGCGGTGCCCGAATTTATAAATTGTGTTGGGCAAGGCCGTGGTCTAGGCAACACGGAGTTTTCCTCCGTGGCATCCCAACAATTACTCCACCCCCTAAGATGTCTTCGCGTACCCCAGGTTGAAAACCACTGTTCTAGATTATAATGCTCTGTGTACTTGTAGGTAAGGTACCGACATTTCGGAGGAACATACTATCTCCATCTTCAATCACCTCGGTCAGAGTGAGACATTCTGTACTATGTTTAAGGTTACAGACTGAGGAAAACCATGTCCCCCTGGGCCGGATTCAAGCCCTTTACCTCTCTTATTGCAATTATTGAATCTCCTTCAGCTAACTAAGGTCGGGAGTTCAAGACAAGCTAGGTATAACACCTTTCCTGCATACGAGACGCATTGCCTTACAACAAAAACAGGAATTTGCTTACGTTAACGGGGGTTTAGTCGTGGCGGTAGCCTCGACTATATAACCCAGGGTCTGTTGCTGCTGATGGGAGGTTACCCCGTCAGGCAACTTGTCCTTCGTGCAAAGGATTTTGGTTAGTTGGCTCTCTAGGATTTGAACCCAGACGGGGTGGGATCTTGAAGGCCTCTGCGACTCACTTCAGCTGAAGGCCTTCATGATTTGGGTGTGCGAGCCGTGAGGCCTTTGAATTAGTTTACCATGATGATTGACAAACGCGTTTCGTTTTAATGTGGACCATCATCAGTGTACATTTCAATCTAAAATCGCGGTGGTACCTATTTTTCTTTTCTGAAGAAATATTTAGTCTAAGACGAAAATTTTTAGACAGTTTGCAAATAATATATATCATTTAAAACTAGATGTGATTTAGTGGTACAAGTGGACACAGCAAAGGTTCCAGTTTTAGACGGAAGCAAGCTTCTTATCCGTCATGGTAAAATTTCTTGAATAAAACTTTGTTCTTTTATAAGATTAATTTAAATGTAATCCTCTCATGCAGACCTACATCTTCCAAGTGACATCTTCCCTCGTCTTTTGCGACTCAAAACATTTAAAACTAATCCGAATTAGAATCAGCAGACTAGAAAATGTATGGTAACGTCCAACTTTGACGTCTTCACAAGTTTACACCTCATGATATTTGTGTTAGCTGAGTTAATCATCTGTGCACGTACTGAACAGTTTAGTGATGCAATAACACTTTTACTACTCGGAAGTACGGGTCTGCGCATAACGATTTTCATTTTTATAACAAAAGAAGCGGAGTGTTCGATAAGTCGATTATGAGAATATAAATAAAGTAACCAGCCAAAAAGCTATTTGTAATGGTCAACTAAGTTTCGTGACATCTTGCGACAAGTGGAACTCTATTGGACAGAGTTCTTTAGCGATTGGTTACGTTAGGTTAGGTTAGGTTTAGTTAGGTTAGATTACGTCAGGTTAGGTTGGGTTAGGTTAGATTAGATTAGGTTAGTTTAGGTTAGGTTAGGAGAGGTCAGGTTAGGTTTAGTTAGGTTAGATTAGATGACGTCAGGTTAGGTTAGGAGAGGTTAGGTTAGGTTTAGTTAGGTTAGGTTAGATGACGTCAGGTTAGGTTAGGTTAGGTTAGATTGGGTTAGGTTAGGTTGGAAGCCAATCACTCGGCGAGTTCACCCTATTTTTTTACGATAAGCACCCAAGTAATATTCAAGAGACAAGTTTTATTTCGAGGCAGGAAATGTTATCGAAATTTATTAAGATTGAGCATGCACATTACAAGGCATTACCTATCTCATTTTGTACCCTGCTATCAAGTCTCGACAACCTGAACGGCCTGGGAAGTCCAGTAACTTTGTCGTAAATCGGTCAAATGATCACTGGTCGGGTCTGCGTTATCATTCATCATCCAGCTTTGATACAGCACGGCAGATAATTGCTGCAATAACATATGTTGTCACTTAAGATAAAAGGTGATTAAGATCACGTCTCGTCTGTGACAGATAATTGGTCATGACGATATTCAAACCAACCAAAAAGCTACAATGGGCTGGAGTCCCTTGTTAGGTGACACCATTCCTGCGCACGAAACGCGTAGCTGGAAATGGAGAACGGGGCTTCATAATCTCTGACTTAGACCCAGCGCGTACGAGCGGTTTTTCTGCCGCGTTGATGGAACGCACTGTTTCAGTAGGAAGCGAGCGCACGTGCGGTGAAACAGCCGCACGGCGACCATTGTTTGTCCGACCTTGATGTAACTGAGTATGAGAAAAGGCCGGCCACATCGGAGTACAGTGACGAAAACTAAATAGAAACTGTGTATTGAAGTCTGTGAAGCTCTACTGCCGAAATCGAGCCAACCTCTCTAAGTTGGACACTTGGGTTTCCACGAAAATGTGTCCAACTTAGAGAGGTGTCCAAGAAAAGAGAAAAATCAGATTGTGGTCTAATGACAATGTAATCTATTTATTTACATACACTAATTACTGTAGGCTTACTTGAATTAAGAATTAATGACAGTGGTATTAATAATAATATTTTGAACCCCATTCCCATGCATTGTAAATTACACCCCAGCCTCAATAACATTTTCTAAAGTTAATTCCACTAATTTTCGCTTCCCTGTCTCAAAAAGAAAAACTCCATTTCTGTTAACACAATCTGAACTCAAATGCAAGCTCAGTGCTGACGGAGTTAAAACTGCGTCTTCTGCAATTCTGTAGTCCAGTTAAGGGTTCAGCAAAAGTATAGTTAAGCACTTGCATTGCATTCCAGTGATGGGTTCAATGTCCATAAGACAATCCTCCAGAGAGGAGGCCTTCATCAGTCAGAAATTCAAAATAACAAAATATGGAACTGAAAAAGTTTCCCTGAAAAGCATCGAAGTTACGTTAAGTGCACGAACCTGTCCAACTTACAACAAAAGGGGTGTCCAACTTACAACAAAAGAGGTGACTAAGATATAGGGTATTGTGGGCATGTAAAATTATAGGTTATTCGCCGGTTCCAATTAAAAGTGTCCAATATAAAGGGGTGTCCAACTTACAACAAAAGGGGTGTCCAACTTACAACAAAAGAGGTGACTGCCTTGTATACAGTATTAAGACAGGTAATAGGTCGGTAGTTTTCCGGATTAGACAAATCTCCTTTCTTCGGAATAAGAACGGTGCGCCCTTCTGTTAACCAAGGTGGAATGGGCTCTGTACCACACAAAAAAGATGTAAAGATACGAGATAAATGTTTGTGTGTGCTCGTGAAAGTTTTCCACCAAAAATTATTGATGGCATCTATTCCAGGAGCAGAAAAATTCTTTTTGCCAGTAAAGGAACGTTTCACAACTTGTTCGGTGATGACTAGGGACACATCATCATCCTCTAAATGGCGATCGCAGAACTGCCTAAAGAGGCCAATGGCTGGAGAATCTATGTTCAACGGAAATCTAAACTGCGTGCCGGGTGGTTGGCTCGACGCACAGACGGCAAATCTGTCAGTACAAAGACTGTCCAGGGCACGCCATTATTATTCCATTAAATATTCACCACTTTATAGTGTATTGACTTCTATGTACCCGAGAAATTGTATCTGAATATTTTTTTTGGATACATGCGAAGTTCCTCATATAACTTGTGAAATTAGGCTTTCAACAATCTTTGACTTTCAAGTGGAGGGAACCAACATTTATTTCTACGGTTTTCCCTTGCTCTTAGCAAAAAACACACAGGTACAGTCTCAACAAAATTAATACCTCGACTTATCAGCCTAGAGCACACAAAATCCAGCTCCCAACTGGAAAGGAAACGCAGATGAACCCGCTGCTCGTAGTATACCTGTTTCCAGATAGGGTCGATATGGTTCAAGATGGAGGTGAACGCCTTTGTATACAGTATTAAGACAGGTAATTGGTCGGTAGTTTTCCGGATTAGACAAATCTCCTTTCTTCGGAATAAGAACGGTGCGCCCTTCTGT